CCCGCCCCGCCGCCCCCGCGCAGCCAGCTCCCTCCCTCCCCGCTCCAGTCTCTGGGGCTGGCGTGCGTGGGCTCCGGCCGGCTCTGCCGCTGTCTCAGGTGGGTGCTGCCGGACCCCGGCTCATCTCCGTGACACTCGCAGGGGGGTCACCCCCCGCACCTTCAGGCAGTTGCCCCCAAGGTCCCTCCGGCCGCCCTGTGGAGAGAAGAGGGGAGAGCTGCAGGCACTGGGGGGTGCCCCGGCTGGGGGGTGCCCCACTCCTGCCCACCGCTGCCCTACACTGGGTCTGCACGGAGGAGCCGCCCTGAAATGGCCAGTGCCCCGGTCCTGGGACGGCTCAGCGCTGCCCAGGACAGACAGACAGACAGGACTGTGCCTGGCGAGTGGCTGGGTAGGTGGCTGTGGGGTGGCTGCTGTGGGGGCACCACCCACGGCCCCATCATCCTATAGGGACACAGCCCCCATGGCTGCTCAGTGCCACCACACTCAGACCCACGGGCAGGGCTGGTGCCACCCCGGGACAGACCCACAGCCCCAGGACAGACCCATAGCCCCAGACAGACCCGCGGCCCTGCTGGGGATGAGGAGGTTCAGCATAACTTCAGCCCAGCACCGCCCAGTATAACCCAGAAGAGACCATCATGGCCCAGGTCTAGCCCAGAAGAGCCCAGTATAACCCAGCATGGCTCAGCAGAGTCCAGGACAGCCCAATTCCAGCCCAGCCCATTTCCAACCCAGCCCAACCCATTTCCAGCCTAGTGCAGCCCAGCATGGCCCAGGACAGCCCAGTTCCAGCCCAGTACAGCCCATTCCTAGCCCAGCCCAGCCCATTTCCAGCCCAGTACATCCCCTTGCAGCCCAGCCCCAGAGCCAGAAGGCGCAGAGCTGTGTCCCGGCCCAGCTCCTGCCGTTGTCCCCAGGGTCCTGGATGCCGCAGGAGCTCCCAGCCCCGGTGCTTCCGTGGGGTCCCCTGGGGGTCCAGCACCATGCCAGCCCCCCAGCTCCAGCCCTGGGGAACAGCCCAGGGACACAGCTCAGCCCTGGCCAGAGGGTCCCAGCCGGGGGCAACTGTGCCAAGGACTGGGGCTGGGGGTCCCCGGGGAGGGCCAGGGAGGCTGCAGAGTCCGGCCAGCGAGGGAGGGAACGGGAGCAGGAGGAGCAATTAAAAATGGAGCAGCAGAAACCGAAAGAGCCGCGAGGGCTGGAGTGTGCCCCATGGCCACACTGCTCGGGGTCGCACATGGGATGGCTCGGGGGTCTCGTGGGGATGGTGGCGGTCCGGCAGCCCCTGCCCACGGCCCTGCCCGGGGGTGCCCATGGGCTGGGAAGCTGTCAGCCCCTCGCCCTGCATCCTGCATGGCCCATCCCAGGGCAGGGGCACCCAGGACCCCAGCGTGGGCAGCGGGATGGGGTCACCACGGGAAAAGTGCCCCCCCGACCTGCAGGGTGCTGGGGGGGGTCAGCCGGGCAGGCAGGGCAGGGCAGAGCAGGGGTTCCCAGCTCAGCCCCCCGCCCCGGGTGGGAGCCGTGCCGGCACCGCCAGCAGACCCAGAGCGGGGCCACGGGATGGGGAGCGCTGCCCGGCCCCCTGTGCGGGGCGTCTGCCGTGCCCTGCCTGTCTCCGTCATGTCAGCGTGCTGCCTGGGACAGCCCTGCCGCAGTGCCTGGGGGGCTGGCGGGGTCGGGGATGGGGTCTGGGATGGGGATGGGGTCCAGGACAGGGATGGGGTCCGGGACAGGGATGGGGTCTGGGACGGGGATGGGGTCAGCCTGCAAGCTCTGAATTCTGCCCCCGGGGCGGCCAAGTGCCCCCAGCACTGGGGTGACTGTTTAACCCCCCGAGACCTCCCGGCCCGAACGGACGTGGGGGAGCAGCCCGGCCCTCTGACGCGAGCGGGAGCTGTGGGCGTGCGGCTACGAGCAGGATTTGGCCGGGAGCAGCCAAAAACTCCAGCGGGGGCTGGAGTCAGAGCCTGCGGTTCTCGTGGGGACGTGCCAAGCCTCCTGCCCCGCTCAGCCCGGGCAGGGGCTGCTGCCCCTATCCCACCGCCCCGCTCACCCCTTTCCGCTGGTTGCTGAGGCAGAAGGTGCAGATGCTGCGGGGCTGCTTGCTGTCCAGGTCGCCCTTGGCCCCGTAGATGGCACTGAAGCAGGGCTGCCCGTCCTCGCAGCCCTCGCCCAGCAGCAGCACGTTGGCCAGGTGGGAGATGTAACTGGAGGCCAGGCGGAGGGTCTCGATCTTGGACAGCTTCCGATCCACCGGCTCGGTGGGGATGAGGGTCCGCAGGGCGGTGAAGGCTGTGTTGACACTCTGGGTCCGGTCCCGCTCCCGCGCGTTGGCCGCCTGCCTCTGCTTCACCATCACCATCGGCCCCGGTTTCCGTGGCAGCTTGCGGCGAGCCTCGGCGCCCTCGCAGCAGCCAAACGACTGGTCCGACGTGTCGCTCTCGCTCCGGTTCTCCTCGTCCTCCGAGAGGATGCTGAGGTCGGGGTAGAGCACACGGGCGGCCACGGGGCGCAGCATGGTGAAGGCCATGGCGTGGCACCCGCCCGCGCCCCCGGCCCTGCTGGGGGGACCCCCCGGGCTGCGGGGAGCCTTCCCCCGCCGGCACGGCTGCGACGGCCGGCCCCCGACGCCTTCCCCCTGCCGCTCCCCTCCGGCGGGCGCGCGGGGGGGGG